GCTATTATACTTTAAACTTATATTTGATTGACTCTTAATTCGCTGAAAACTTGTGGGTCAGAATGGAGGGTATTTTTCTCCAACGGTGATTTACACTTGCCTTCTGTTGGAGGCAAAGGGGTATTATCTATCTGGTTCCACTTTAGCACCATTTCAGAGGCTTAATCTGAAAGTCAAGATCAGTCTCCGTCTCCTTCACCTTGCAGCTGGCACAAAGGTTATTTTCCAAATTGCAGTGCTGATATCAGCATTTGCCCTAGCACAACCCTGTGTTTCACATGTGCTTATTTGCTTACTGCTCAAGTGTCACCTTACAGAGGTATGGTTTTTATTTTTATGCTGGTTTTCTTTTCTTGAGGGTGTAGGCCAGGGGCATTAAATTAGTGATTTTCTTTACTTCCTGAGTACCAAGTGATATACAAAATATATTTAAAAAATAATTTTTCTAAAGCGTACGTCCTTCAAAGTATCTAGTCTACCAAACTGCGAGAAGTGGAAATCCTCAATTACTCTTCAAACCATACCAATCTAGTTTGCATCTCTAACATCTCAATGAAATTATTATACTGAAGATTGCAAATGACTTCCAAGTAGCCAAATCAAAAGAAATTTTTTGCTGTCAACTTAGTCAACCCCTCCTTCTCTTCTTGACCCACTTCCGTTTCTAACTTCCATGTCAGCATACCTTCCGGGTTTTTCTTCTACTTCATTGGCTGCTCCCTCTCTGTCTTCCAACTACTTTTTCCTCTCCTGTCTAACTTCTAAATTTCAGAAATCCCCCAGGACTCTCTCCTCAACTTATCTTCTCTGCCTAAGTGATCTCATTCAGCACCATAGCTTTAGATACCACTTATAAACTAAACACTACCAAATTTATATCCCCAATCCAGACCACTCCTTTGAGCCTCACTCATTTATCTAAATTGTCTACTTAATATCTCCATTTAGAACTCAAACTTAACATGTCAAAAACAGAAGTCCTCCCTCTCTGCCTTTCCTACCTCGGTTAATGCCATCAATATCTACTCAAATACTGAAGGAAAAACTTGGGAGTCATCCTTGACTACTCCTTTCCTTAATGACCATCCCACTCCCATTCCTGTTGGTTCTACTTCAAAATACATACTGTCAATCGCTTCTCTCAATCTTCCGTACTATAGCCCTATATTCAAGCCATCATCTCTCCTTTGTTCTACTACAGTAACCTCCTACTTCTACTCTTGCCTCCTTCCAATCCATTTTGAGTTGGAACTTGACATTAAGAGATCTGGCCAAAGCATACAGGCCCTCTTCAAAGTCCTAGAACATTGCCAAGCCCTTGCTTGCATTAGAGCACGTGGGGCTACTAAGCTCTCTCTGACTCTTCAAATGCCTGGCTCCTTCCCATTCTTCAAGGTTTTAATTTATATTGTCTCCGTCATATAAAAGATAGGTCACTGCTGTTATTCTCATTCACAACATCCTCTTTTTCCTTCATGGTGCCTATCAAGAGCTATAAGTATCTTAATTGTTCACTTTTATACACTCTGTATTTCCCCCCAAAAAATGAATTCTATAAGAGCAAGGGTATTGTACTCCTAAAGAATACAAAAGGAAGTAGTTCAGGCAGGAAGGAAAGCCAAAGTAAGCTAATACTGGATCTGCAATGTCTGTGATAGCTTTAAATGCAAATACCCTATTGAAAAACACAAAGACAAAAAGTAGCCAAAAGTTAGGATAATGGCAAGAAACTGATACTGATTTTCAGGAAAAAAACCTCTCAGTTGTTTTACTGAAACATAGGAGGAGATGGCCCTTCATCATTTAATCTGTTTTGGAGCAAAAGGAGAGCAATCAAGGACCTGGCATGGCATCTGAGATCATATGTCCCATTGCTACAATCATACATTAAAATGAAAGGTTCAACTAACTAGACTACACTTTAGAGTTGTATTAAGACCCCAGACAAGTAGTTCTAATTCAAGTAAGTGTTTATTTCTAGAATCTAGTTATACTATTATCTCTAACCTAGTGAAGGTATTCGGAAATAAATTTCATGCTGCCAATTTTATTTTTGTTTTGTTAATGCAAATACACTTCATTTAAAATTAAAACATATAAGGATTATAGAAAACAATACATTGATTTAAACCTAAATCCAAACTAGAGCATGTTCTTTGATAACTAACTCTCTTAAGTATAATGATGTCTAATTAGTAAATAATTGCAGACAATCATATCTTTAAACTCACTCTTTCTATCCTCTCCATCACATCCCATTGTGATCACTCTAATTGTGGTTCTTAGTACACCTCATGTTTTCATACATATTACTACAAAGGAACAGTCACTCATAATCTCTTGTTATTTAATCTACCCTGTACAATGCTGCCGGAGAGATCTAAAAGCACTGTTCAACCCAATTCTGACTTTCAGACTGTCTCACAAAATGCCCAAGTCAACAAACTAGGAAACACTACAGTTCCTTCACTCTGAATCCAGTCCTCATGATTAACTGAAAACGTGGCCTCTTAAGACTCAGCTGGATGATGGAAATTGAAGTAGGGATGGACAGAAGAAAGAAGACAAAATGTCTCCTCTCTGTCCTCACTCACCCCACTCTAACCATTCATCTTACCTGAATTCTTGCCTACTAAGGTTTGCCCAATAAACAAAGCAAGAGGGGGAAAAAACACAAATTGGTAAGTGCTGTGACAAGCCACTCTGGTAACAGCAGAGTACACCTACTATTTTAGTACCAAGACTCTGAGTATCCAAAGCTAGGAAAGCTGAGAAGAATAACTATTCTTTACTCTTTGTAGTATATAAAGTACCAAAATAATTTTTAAACAAATACATTATTATTTCTTTCTTGAGTTCCTTGTGTACCTTTAGCCATCTCTGTATTTTTATAATTTCCAGAGTTTAGGTAACCCTGAATATTTCTTTACCAACATGGAAATGTTGTTATGGACACTCCTAAAGGGCAGGTTCATTTACCTTATTCTGAATTTGTCTTTGGCATAATTTCTTCTACATATATGTTAATAATCAGATATTTATGGGAAAGAGAAATAGGATGAACTCTATACACAGATAGGATTGGTATCAGATTAAAAGTAATTAACAATAGAATTCTTGAAAGTAAAATTAATGGTTATCAGAGTAATAAAAAGATTTCTATAGCATCTACTATGTACATTTATTCTAAATTATTTAATACCCATAACAACCTATGAGGTAGGTACTATTATCCCCATTTTATAAATGAGAAAACTGAGGCATAGAGCCTCCAAATAACTTCTCCAAGGTGACACAGAGAGCAAATTGTGGAGCTAGGATAAACCTAGGCAGTCTGGTTCTGAATACATGCTCTAAACCACTGTGCTATACTGTAAAGAAGGAGCCCTGGTGGTGAAGTGGTTAAAGAGCTTGGCTACTAACAGAAAGGTTGGGAATTAGAACCCACCAGCTTCTCTGTGAGAGAAAGATGTGGCCGTTTGCTTCCATAAAGATTTACAGTTTTGCACACACTAAAGGGGAGGTCAGCATAACTGGACTAAACCAAAGCTAAGAAGTTTCCTGAATACAACCAAACACTTCAAGGTACAAAGTAGCACAGGTAGGGGTCTGGGGGCCATGGTTTCAGGGGGCACTTAGGTCAACTGACATAACAAAGTTTATTAAGAAAATGTTCTGCATCCCACTTTGGTGAGTGGCGTCTGGGGTCTTAAAAGCTAGCGAGCGGCCAACTAAGATGCATCAATTGGTCCTAATCCACCTGGAATAAAGGAGAATGAAGAACACAATAGACACAAGGAAAGTATTAGCCCAAGAGACAGAAAGGGCCACATAAACCAGAGACTTCATCAGTCTGAGACCAGAAGAACTAGATGGTGCCCAGCTACCACCAAAGACCGCCCTGACAGGGAACAAAACAGAGAGTCCTTGATGGAGTAGGAGAAAAGTGGGGTACAGAACTCAAATTCTAGTAAAAGACCAGACTTAATGGTTTGATTGAGACTGGAGGGACCCCAGAAGACATGGCCCCCAGACTCTCTGTTAGCCCAGAACTAAAACCATTCCCGAGGCCAACTCTTCAGACAAAGATTAGACTGGATGATGGGATATAAAATGATACTCGTGAAGAGTGTGCTTCTTAGCTCAAGTAGATACATGAGACTAAATGGGCAGTTCCTGTCCAGAGATGAGATGAGAAGGCAGAGAGGGTCAGGAGCTGGTTGAATGGACATGGGAAATCCGGGGTAGAAAGGAGTGTGCTGTCACAGTATAGGGAGAGCAACAAGGGTCACATAACACTGTATGTATAAATGTTTGTATGAGAGACTAACTTGAACTGTAAACTTACACTTAAAGCGCAACAACTTAAAAAAAAATTGATAGATTCACAAAAATAAAAATAAAAAAGAAATCAATTAAACATGTGGTACTGATACTTTTGAACAGGTTTAAATGCAACTGCTCTAATAAATTAGTTTTAACAGTATACATGTATGATTATTCTGTTGCAAAAGGTGTTTAAAGTGTTCAAAGAATCAGTTGTTAAATTTGTAGTATATATTCTCTCAGCACGTAAGTTTGTGATTATTTTTCATAAACATTTTCAAAGTTTTGTTTATTGGTTTTTGTATTTAATAATTAAACATTTAAAAAGTGGTTAAGTGAGCCTCTCCGAACACATTAAAGCCCTCTGGACAGTAAAGAATCTTATTAATCTTAAAAAAAAACCAAAAGATTTACAGCTTCGGAAACCATATGTTGCAGTTCTACTCTGTCCAATAGGTCACTATGAGCTGGAATCAACTTGATAGCAATTGAGGTTTTTTTTTTTTTTAATACTGTAAGGGTGCCTGTGAATCACTATGATAAAAGTGCAGTTGTGAATTTAACAGGAGAGTTCTCACATGTGAAAAGTGCCTGTACAAGAATTTTATATTACTGAAAAGTGTAATTTGATCAAAACTTAATTACTACTCTATTTTATAAGCAGAGACACTTACCTCCAAATTACATCATACACAGGATCAAGACATACACCAAATCCTTGCAGATCCTCTTGCTCAGAATCATTAAAAGTTTTACAGCTCCCATCCACTTTATTTATCAGAAGACATTTAAATGGAGGAGGTTCTGATATAGAAGCAGGTACCAAGCCTTGGGAAAAATATTTATACGTACTTTAAATATGCATTACCATTTTATAGTCGCATAAACCCTGTAGGTATTACTATTATCTCCATTCCACAGATGACGAAACCTACACTTAAAGAGGTTGTTGTTGTGTGCCATCGAGTCGACTCCAACTCATAGCGAGCTACAGGAAAGAGTAGAACTGCCCCATGGGGTTTTCTAGGCTATAATCTTTATGGGAGCAGATTGCCAGGTCTTTTCTCCTGAGGAGCTGCTGGTGGGTTCAAACCGTGACCTTTCAGTTAACAGCCAAGTGCTTAAAATCACTGTGACATAAAAAGCCTATAAGTGGTGAAATTAAGGAATAAAATCTCAGGCTATTTGAATCCAAAACACATGCTTCTCATCTCTACACTTCACTATTCAAATATAATTATTCATGGTTTCATGAGCACGAGTATGAACTGAAATCTTGGTCTTAGTGAAACATCCAAGTTTGCATTATATAATCTCTCATAAAAATTAATTTCTAACATTTATTTAACAAGAAACAATGCAGAAAAAAAAACCATCACTCTAATATAGATTTTACTCTGCTAAAATTTAGCTAATATTTCCACCAATGTCTAGCTTATAAATACTCTGGTTTGCCCATCTCCTCATTCTTCCATTCTTCCGACAGATACCCGTTGCTGTTGCCATCGAGTTGATGCTGACTCATAGCGACCCTATAGGACAGAAGAGAACTGCCCCACAGGTTTTCAAAGGAGCAGCTGGTGGATTCAAACTGATGACCTTTCGGTTAGCAGCCAAACTCTTAACCATTGCGCCACCAGGGCTTCGCCACATCCAACAGACAAATATAAACACAGTCACTTAGTGGCTTCTTTTAAATGTCTTCAAACAGAAAGAAAACAAAGACAAAAAGGCACAAGACTATTTCTCTTTATAGGGAAAGATAAAACCATTCACTATGAATCTAGACAAGTGATATTTTTGTGGGGGGAGGAGAAGAGTTGTTTGGTTTTGATATTACCTATTATGTGTTTGCTGGCAAAAATTTCTGATGTAGCAAGCACATGAGAATTAATAAGTGCTTCATCAATTCGTAAGAAAGTCTGGTCCCCACTTGCACCTATCCAGGTAGCTTTCCGTCCATATTTTGATCCAATGTTAGGCATGGGAGCTGGCTTTGCATTCCAATATGGCACGTCCAAAATTGGTCTGCCCAGTTGTCCTTTCTAAAAGATTAAATAAATCATATTAACAATATTACTGGATAAACAATCTATAATTTTTATAAGGTTAAGGAAAGAGTAGACAAAAGTAAGCTCTATGAGACATTCTTCATCAATACATATGAAAGTTGGACCAAACACTTATAGAGTAATAAAATAACTTCTATTGCTTCTGGGAATTATCTCTTCAACAAACCACAAAGTGCATTATTAAAAAAAAAATAATAAATTTGAAATATTTTTCCATGCCAGAAATTTTCTCCAAATACTGTGACTATATCCAAAATCCAAAAGGAGAAGTATGATAAATACATAATATGTTACACAATTAGTTTATTTTAAAAATCATTTGACACTATAAATTGACAGTACAAAATGACCGTGAATTCACTATTGAACTCACACCATCTAAAAATATTTGGATAAAAGACCAAAGGTAGTTAATACTGGAACTGTGAATACAATTCACAAATTACATAACCTAACGATTACATGTAAGTTATTTCATTTATGTTTTAAGATAAACAGCAGAATCAATATTAGGCACAACGTCTTAATAGCTGTTAACTCACTTAAAAAAATTAGACTGTCTATAGGTACCTGGTGAGGTAAGAGTTTAAGTTAAGAAGCAACAGGAAGTGTCTGGCTACTAAGCTAGTAGCTGAAGAAGAATAAAAGAATGTTCACATTAGATCAGTAAATACTCTTCACCCGTAGCTCTGGAGAGCTCTCTCTCCATAGCATTCCACTTCCAGAAATCCTCTGAAAATGCCGCACTGGAGCATCCAGAGTTATCTTGTGTCAGCAGTGGAATAAGCAACGATAGCAAAAAACCTGAAGAAGAGGGAGCCTGGTGCACTGCCAACAGTCTGCTCAAGCTCTGACCCGAGTACCAGGTTCTTATTTCAGTTCTACTTCTCCTTCAACACCACAGCAAGGAAACACAGCCACAAACTGACTGCAGAGCAACTGAGCTTCAACCTCTGGTAAGGAAAAGTGGCAAACAGATTACAGAAGTAGCCAAAAGATTCAATGTTTATTCTCACATTCTTTCAATGTCTATCCTTTCTTCTTGACAAAAGAAACAAAAACCATAAAAATATGAACACTGTGCAAAATAAATCATATTATACTTCCGGAGTGCAAAGAAATTAGTTATACTTTCCACTGACTACTGAAATAAGTATCTACTCCTTTACTACCAACCAACTAATGTGAAGAAAAGAAGTACAAAAATATGACAGACGCTGAACATCCCCATAGGAGTTCATAATGTGATTATAAATAAGCCACATTTAAATTCATAAAAGCTCACAACAGGGATTGGAGGACAATGATAGTTGTCTGATTTCAAATCTTGCCACTCACATTCCTCCCAATAACATAAATCAATATGGAGAGAAATTAAACCACAAATGACTCATGCCTCCAGTGGTATTAGGAGACAGAGGATACCATGATCTTCAAATTACCTGTAACCAGAGGATAAAATCAAATTCTGACAAGAGTTCTCTCCACCTGCCTGTCATTGCAAGCTTGTGGGTGTGGAAGGCACAAATGGGAAGGTTTAGGAAGAACAAGGAGAACAGAGGTGTATAGAGGACTTTGGAAAAGCAGAGGTAAAATCACCCTCTCGAAAAGAAAATACAACCCTTAATGATAAAATACTACACATTAGTCAGGACTTGGAGGTTCACAGCATGAGCTAAAGCAAAGGGACTTGGAAGTGAGCAGGCTCATTTCTACCCATCAGACCGGCGTGAATTAAAAAGCGGGAAAACACCTTGTATTGGCAAGGCTGTGGAGAAAGGGCACTGTCATATTACTGGCAAGGATATAAAATAAAGAGGAATGAATTGTCAATACCTTATAAAACACGATACATATGTAGTCTTTGACCCAGAAATCTCACTTTTAGGAATTTACCTCAAAGATAAACCACTAACAATATTCACTGCTATAACTGAAATATGTTGGAAGGCACCTAAATGTCTAAGCATACGATAGTGACTGAATAAAGTACAGTATCTACTCAATGGAGTACTATGCAAATGTAAAAAAGAATAACAAAGATCTCTATGAACCGATTTGGAGTGACTTCTAGGAACTATATTAAAGTGGAAACAGCAAAGTGCAGAAGAGCATATACCATATCCTACTTTTTGAAAAACAAGGAGGGTGAAATAATTATATATATGTATGTGTGTGCATATACATACACTTATGGTATTGTGTGATATCGAATTGATTCTGACTCATAACGACCCCATATGACTGAGTAAAACTGCCCACTGGGTTTCCTAGGCTGTAATCTTTATAGGAGCAGATGACCAGGTCGTTTCTCCCACTGAGCTGCTGGTGGGTTCAAACTGCTGACGTTCTGATTAGCTGCCGAGCGCCCAACCACTGTGCCACCAGGGCTCCTTACACACACATAAACATACATGATGTGTGTGTGTATATATATACACACACACACACACACACACAGTGTGTATATCTTTTTATCTATCTATATCTTTACAAGAAGAAACACAGGAAGGATAAACTGGAAAACAATGAAGTTTGTTACCTACAAGTATGGTTTGAAGGGGAGATGGAGAGTAGGGATACCAGGGATATGGTATGTAAGTATAGTGTTTTTGTATAACTTAATGTTTGGAAACATGTTAATGTTTCTACATATGCAAAAAATTAAATTAAATCAAAGGACGCAGGGTAGGGGTGGAGATCCTTAAACTCAAAGCAAACGTAAACAAATGAACTCGCATCTATTCTAAAGGAATAACATAATTCCACTGAGAGGCAATGGGGAGAAAGAATTAATCCAAGTAATTTATGAACACAGTATCTGTCTATACGCTTTTGGTCTTAGAGAAGGCACAGGTGGGAGGAATGACAGGAGCAAGAATGACAAACAAATCCTGAAGTGTTTCTAGTGAGTTTGTTTTTGTAATAGTGTAGGCAAAGCAGGGAACCCTGGTGGCACAATGGTTAAGTGCTTGGCCGCTAACCAAAAGGTTGATGGTTCAAACCCATCAGCTCTGCAAGAGAAAAGACCTGGTGATTGTTCCTGTGAAGATCACAACCTAGGAAACCCTATGGGGCACTTCTACTCTGTCACATGGGGCTCCTCTGAGTCAGAATTGACTCAACAGCACACAACAACATGGACAAAGCACTTCTATTTTAGGACTGACTGAGTGAGAAATAAATGTGTTGATGTTGTTGGGAGCCAGAATTCTCACTGTGGAAGAAGGGACATAACAAATATGGCATGGGAGAAGGCAAGACAGAACTCTGTGGGAACAGACTGTAGTTGGAAGTATTGGTGTGGACTTAGAACTTCTAAAATACATACATGTACATGTATACACACACATATGTATACTGGCGAAGCAAAGACACCCGGTAGCAATAAACAAAGGAACCAGTTGGTGTCTAATACTAGTACCAGTTGGTGTCTAACACTGCTCCCCACTAAAAAGAACCAGAGTTCTTGGAGACATGGCTAATTCTAGAACTGAGATAAGGTATGTACAAGATGAGCCTGGAACACCTTGTTATGACAGGAAGTATAAAAGTCCTCAAAACAAACCAATGAACAAACGAAGGGGCATGTAACAACAACACAAGAACCAGCTTTAAGGGGCGCCCACTGGCCAAATCTGGGACAATCTAATAATTGTCCCAAATAATTAAGGACAAAAAAGGGGCCCTGGTGACTAAGTGGTTAAGCACTGGGCTGCTAACCAAAAGGTCGGCAGATTAAATCCACAAGCCGCTCCTTGGAAACCCTATGGGGCTGTTTTACTCTGTCCTATAGGGTCACTATGAGTCAGAATTGGCTCAACGGCAACAGGTTTTTTGGGTTTTATACCAATAATAAGTCAACAGGTAGACAAACAAATAGGAAAGGAGGGCTCTTATAATAAAATGCAAAGTGCTGACTGGTAAATGTGGAAGAGGTGTTGGAGTCGGAAAATCATCATTTTGTAACAATCATAGTGAAGACTGGTTCAGGCAAGAATGATCAATGGATGCCAGATGTAGGGGAAAATTTTGATAAGAAAAAAGCAGATATCTGCATGGTTTTAAAAGTGTCAACCCACAGATTACTTATTAGTTGCAAGGAAAAACTACCAACTATACAGTAGTGAAATCAGAGAACATATTGACCAGGTAATCAAAATTTACATCACCACTGAGGAGCAGATAAACATCTTCTGCCTCTAGATGTGATGCCCTAAGAACAACACAACATCACTTACATGGTATTTTGATATGGAGTGCATAATCTGAATCTAAACGTGAGGGAATATCAGATAAACCGAATGTAAGAAACATTCTCTTAATATACATACATATATCTATCATATTCTTCAAAAATGTCAGTGTCAAACTAGACAAAGAAAACTTGAGGAAACATTACAGATTAAAGGAGACATGAAGGAGCCCTGGTGGTGCAATGGTTAAGTGTTCGGCTGCTAACCAAAAGGTTGCTGGTTTGAACCCACTAGCTGCTCTGCGGAAGAAAAGACCTGGTAATCTGTTCCTGTAAAGATTACTGCCTAGGAAACTCTATGGGGCAGTTCTACTCACTCTTATAGAGTCACTATGTGTTGGAATTGACTTGATGGCATACAAGAACAACAAGGAGACACGACAAATAAATGCAGTGTCTATGGCTAGCCAGGAGGAGGAAAATGCCAAAGAAAAGTACAGGGTCAACTGACAAAATACAAACTATCTAGGAGTAAAGGGCCATAACGTATGCAAGCTATTCTTAAAGGATTCAGTAAGAAAATATTTTATATCCGTGCATACACACAAGCAGAGAGAAGTGGACAGAGGTAAAGAGGGAGAGGTACAGACAGAAAGAAAATGATAAAAGAAATAGAGCAAAACCTTAATAGATGAATCTGGTAAAATAATACACGGGTGTTCTATGTATTATTCTTATTTTCATCTCCAAATAAAAGTTATTATTTTTAAATTCACATTTACATTTTTTTAAAGGGTAGGAGCTACAAAGCACATCTCAGAGACCTAAGTTACAGAGTTCTGTATAGTTAATCCAAGTCAGAGATGGTATGGGTTTTTTTTTAGCAGTCTTACAAAGCTTTTCTTTGACCTCTAATATGCCCAAACTATACGAAATTCACAGATCATTTTCACCCTCTTCAAGCTTTGGCAAAAAGAAAGACCAGAGAGATAGAGACAGAGAGGAAAAAGAAAACTATAATTTTAAACAAAACTAGTCTTTTAAAAAACTTTAGAGTAGAAATAGTTCTGTATGTTTTAAAAAATGAATCTTTAGAAGATAGGTGAGAAATAAGCTTTCATACGACAGAATTATTACTACTGAATTCTTAAAGGGTTTTGATCTGGAATAAATATATCAAATTCTAACATAACAGTTAAATTCAATAAATTCTAATGCTGATTTAGAGGAGAAAATTATTTCAAATTAATGTCATTCAGGTTTTGTTTCTGTTGGATGTGGAGGCAGAAAATCTGAATATGCAATAACTATAATACAAAGAATTTTACTGGAACCAGGAAAAAATAACTAATGTAGACGATTTATAAGGCAATGGTACAATGTAATATTATTGTTTAAAAAGTTTCTTACAGAAAAACTTCCAAATGTGAAGACCTGTCCATCCATTAACAGTACTGCCGTGTGGTTGCTGCCTGCAGTAACTTGTGTGCTAGGACCTGGCAATGCTTGAACAAGAGTGGGACATCCCCTAGGTTTAAAAAAAAAAAAAAAATTAAGTCAATTTCTTACAAGATCCATCTGAAATAAAAAACATTAAGTAAACAATGCAATAAGGAGGAAAAAGATAAAAGGCACTAATAAGAATATTCAATAAACACTTATTTAGGTGCTATAGGCATGTCTCTATTCAAGGACCTGGGTATACAAAGATGAAAAAGACATAGTTGCTGACTTTGAGGAGATTGTTAAAAAGATTTTCCGAATCTCCTATCCTAATCATGGACACATAATTTATAGTTTTTCTGAAAGACCAGTGCTACCTTTATTTTAAAAGGAGAAATATGGTACCTTGTAATGAGTGACACATTAGAGATCACGCAGTAAGTATTTATTGCATGAAATAAAAATCATATGATGTCTAGACCGGAATTCAATCCAGGAGCTAGATGAAATAATTCTATGAGCCCTTTTTCTAACTTTCATCGCTAAGATATAATTTTATATTTTAACATTATATTTAATGAGTCAAAATATAGTATCATGAGAGGCATTAGCACAATGGCTAAAAGTTCAGGCTCTTGAGTGAGACCACTTTTGTGTGAATCCTGCCGACGCCACTCAATAGGAATGTGGCCGAGGCTTTGAACAAGCTACTCATCCTTTTTGTATTTCAGTTTTCTTCTCTATAATATGGAAAATAATATTAAATAATATCTATCCCATAGGGTTCCTGTGAACAATAAATGAGTTCATACAGGTCAGTGCCTGGCACACAGTTAACACTCAAGAAATGTTAACTATTATCATAAATGACAGCCCATTATCCTTCTCTACTCTTACTAACCATTTTTAAGAACAATTATCTATAATCAGAATAGTAATCACTATAGAAACAGTCCATACATAATAGGAGAGCTCTGCTTTTGAGATAATGTAATTATCATACTTAAATTTTTTTATTATAAAATTAAATTACATCAACATAAGCATTTTCAGCTTTTAGAACACATACTTTTTTAAATTACAGATGTAGAAAATTAAAGAGGGCTAAAACTTCCCAAAGTTACAAAAGGATGGACAGATAGGATGCTCTGCTACCATATCATCACCAATTTTGTTTCATCCTAATTATCTTCATATACTTTACATTCTCCCTAGATGATCTTACTTTATAGCTCAATCTCACTGTGATTCTTAAATCTATGTTCAGAAGGTCACCGGAGGAGAAGGTTTTAAGAAGGGGGAGATAATATACATGTCAAATTCCTCTAGAGAGATGTACAACTGACAACTGGAGTTAGAAAGAAGAAAATTTCTTTGGTGGAAGTAAGCACTACACAGTAGCAGATGAGGGTTAACAGTAGGGTCACAGAATATGCAGAAAATGCCTTCAAGAGTCCTAGTACTAAAGGCAAAAGAAAGGAGAACCAACAGTTAAAGGGAAAATGAAGATGAGAAGATGAAGGAGAGAGGCTTTGTTCTTTGGAAGATGACAGAGAATTGAGGAAGTTTAACAGAGTGAGTAAAGATAAAGAGGCTAAAGACAGAAGTCAGAGAGGAGACAGGAAAGAGAACTAGATCCCCTAAGGAAAAGGCAGATGGGTTTCAGAGCATGGGCAAGATGGGCCACTCTTTCACTGCAACAAAAGGAAAGGAGCAAAGAAGTGGTATGGATGTAGGTAGGTTTGTATGATTAGTGGGCTGAAGAATTTCCAGCTAAAGGTTTTTATTTTTTTGTGATGTGAACGGAGGTTGTATGTTGAGAGAAGGGGAAATGGGTGAGCAGAGAGAAGAGTTTGAAGATTAGACAAAAGGTATAGTGGGGGATAGAACAGATAATTGGATCAGAAATTTTTAATCTAGATCCAAAGGACAGCTAAGACAACAAAGAGGGAGTTTCAAGAGATCTCTGAATCCCTTAGATTTATAAGCAAACTTTTAGTGTATATTCCTTTGTCTGTTTTTCTGGGGAAAGAGCCCCTATCTTTCAACAAATTCTTGAAAGGTCTTAAGCCAAAGAGTTCACAAGTATATAACAGGAAGATTTCTGCCCATTACAAATTCAACTGAATCTGAAGATCATATAACAATCTGCTCACTTGTGTGATTTTTTTGCAGCAGCGTAAGTGTACATATGGCAAATATAGACAGATTGATTCATGCTTGAAGTTTTACCACACCCCAGCCCATGGAAGCAGCAGTCAAGAAATCAAATGACTTATTGCATTGGGCAAATTTGCAGCAAAAGACCTCTTCGAAGTTCTAAACAGCAAATACGTCACTTTGATGACTATGGTGCACCTGACCCAAGCTGTGGTCTTTTGAAATGCCTCACATGCGTACAAAAGGTGAACAATGCAAAAAAGAGACAGAAGACAAACTGATGTCATTGAATTGTGGTGCTGGCAAAGAATATTAAGCATACCATGGACTGCAAGAAGAATGAACAAATCAGTCTTCGAAGAAATGCAATGGGAATGCTTCTTAGAAGCAAGGATGGCAAGACTTGCTTACTTTGGACATGTCATCAGGAAAGACAAATCACTAGAAAAGAACATCATATTTGGTAAAGTAAAAGGTCAGCAAAAACGAGGGAAGTCTTCAGTGAGATGGACTGACACAAGAGCCTCAACAATGGGCTCAAACATATCAAAGATCGTGGAGATGGCTCCGGACCAGGAAGCATTTCATTCTATTATACACAAGGAGCAAACTCAGTGGCAGAGAATGAGAAAATTGAGGACACTGGTAAGAGTATAAGTAAATAGATTAAATAACACTTTCTAATGTGGGTAGGCAATAAAGTGAAAAGGGTGAAAGATAATCAAAAATGGAGGGTTGTAGGGAATGAAAAAGTCAAAGGTCAAGTGAGCTGGGGCTAAGTAAGAAATGAAGAAATTGAACCAGACAAGGATGCCCTTTATCACCACTCTTATTCAATATTGTGCTGGAGGTCCTAGCCAGAGCAATTAGGCTAGAAAAAGAAATAAAGGGCATCCAAATTGGTAGGAAAGAAGTCAAAGTATCTCTATTTGCAGATGATATGATCTTATGCAGAGAAAACGCCAAAGAAACTACTGGAACTAATAGAAGATTTCAGCAAAGTTTCAGGATACAAGATAAACACAAAAATCAGTTGGATTCCTTTACACCAACAAAGAGAACTTCGAAGAAGAAATTACCAAATCAATACCATTTACAATAGCCCCCAAGAAGATAAAATGTTTAGGAATAAATCTAACTGGAGATGTAAAAGACCCATACAATGAAAACTACAAGACACTACTGCAGGAAACCAAAAGAGACCTGCATAAGTGGAAAAACATACCTTGCTCATGGATAGGAAGACTCAATATTGTGAAAATGTCAGTTCTTTCCAAAGTGATCTACAGACACAATGCAATCCCAATCCAAATTCCAATGGCATTTTTTAATCAGATGGAGAACAAATCAACAACTTCACATGGGAAGGGAAGACATCCCGGATAAGTAAAGCATTACTCAAGAAGAAGAACAAAGTGGAAGGCCTCACACTACCTGATTTTAGAACCTATTATACTGCCACTGTAGTCAAAACAGCCTGGTACTGGTACAACAACAGATACATAGACCAATGGAACAGAATTGAGAATCCAGATGTAAATTCATCTACCTATAAGCAGCTGATATTTGACAACGGCCCGAAGTCCGTTAACTGGGGAAAAGACAGTCTCTTTAACAAATGGTGCTGGAATAACCGGATATCCATCTGCAAAAAACTGAAAAAAGACTCATACCTCAAACCAAGCACAAAAACTAACTCAAAATGGATCAAAGACCCAAATATAAAATCAAAAACGATAAAGATCATGAAAGAAAAAATAGGGACAATGCTAGGAGCCCTAATACATGGCATAAACACAATACGAACCATAAATAACAATGCACAAGCACCAGAAGAGAGACTAGATAAATGGGAGCTCCTAAAAATCAAACGCTTAAGCTCATCAAAAGACTTCACCAAAAGAGTAAAAAGACAACCTACAGACAGGGAAAAAATTTTTGGCTACAACAAATCTCATCAGCATCTAATCTCTTAAAATCTACAAGATACTGTAAAACCTCAACAACCAAAAGACAAATAACCCAATTGAAAAATGGGCAAAGGATACAAACAGGCACTTTGCCATAGAAGATATTCAGACGGCTAGCAGACACATGAAGAAATGCTCACCATCATTAGCCATTAGAGAAATGCAGCTCAAAACTACAAAGAGATACCATCTCACCCAACAAGGCTAGCATTAATCCAAAAAACACAAAATAATAAATGCTGAAGAGGTTGTGGAGAGACTGGAGCACTTATACACTGTTGATGGGAATGTAAAATGGTACAATCACTTTGGAAATTGATTTGGTGCTTCCTTAAAAAGCTAGAAATAGAAGTACCATATGATCCAGTTATCCCACTCCTTGGAATATATCCTGGAGAAATAATAGCTGTTACATGAATAGATATATGCATACCCATGTTCATCGCAGCACTGTTCACAATAGCAAAAAGATGGAAACAACCTAGGTGCCCATCAACAGACGAATGGATAAACAAATTATGTATATCTACACAATGGAATACTATGCAACAATAAAGAACAGCAAGGAAGCCGTGAAACATCTTAACATGGAGGAAGCTGGAGGTCATTATGCTGAGTGAATTTAGTCAGTCACAGAAGGATAAATATTATATAAGACCATTATTATAAGAACTCAAGAAAAGGTTTAAACACAGAAGAAAACATTCTTTGATGCTTACGAGGGTGGGGAGGCAGGGTGAGGGTTATTCACTAACTAGATAGTAGACAAGAATTATCTTGGGTGAAGGGAAGGACAGCACACACTACAGGGGAAGTCAGCACAACTGGACTAAACCAAAGCTAAGAAGTTTCTTGAATACAACTTTTGGGACAGAGTAGCAGGGGTGGGGGTCTGGGGACCATGGTTTCATGGGACATCTAGGTCAACTGGCATAACAAAGCTTATTAAGAAAAT